ATGATGGCTATCCCCGACGGCTACGTGCCCGTCGTCGCCTTTGGCTTCTGTCCACCCTCGGGGATCTTCTTGCAGTTGGGTCTCTACCTTTTCGAGCCTCGTCCAGTTGTGTTTTCCAGTAGGAAGTATCAATCCTGGGTCGCAGCCCAGGACATCGTGAACGACCTGGTTCAAATCAGCACCTTTCTACTGCACAGAGACTGGTGGTTTGCCGGAGTTCTGAGCTTTTTCATCCTCCTAAGCCTGGCACTGACGATCCCAAAGATGTCGGAGGACAGCGATTTGCAGCGCTTCGACCCGCTGGGCGAAGCCCGGCTCTGCTTGGCTCGGGGGGTGCCGACCGTAGCTTGGGAGCGGATGCTCGCGTGTGAGCGGAACATCGAAGCACCGAGCACTGGACTCATCGGCCCCTACGGTGCCTCCTTGCTCCAGCTCACACCGCTGCAGGCAGCCAGCTGCCTCTATGGGCTCTGCACCTCCGCGAAGGCCATGGCCGAGGGCAGGCTGCATGTGGAGGCCCGCTGTGTCAAGTGTGTAGGCATTGCTCCCGGTAAGTCTCGAATCATTGAAACCGGGGTGTCGCGAAGCTGTGTGGCATCTCTGGGATCCCTTGGTACAAGGACATTGAGCCCACCAGGAAGCTCCTAGAGTCCTAGAGTCCTAGAGCCCTGTCCCGTGTCACCCTGGCGAGGTGGTGAATGGCACGGACACAGGAGGACCACAAGCATTGAAAGCCGTGCGCCCGGTCAAGGCCACCGCACTCTTCGCCTGGTACTTCGCCGCCTTTACCGCGGAGCTCGCGGCCTTCGCTGTGGCAAGTGCTACCTTGCACCCCATCATCACCCTGCCGGGGTACCTCCTAGGTGCTGTGGCGAACGGGGTGGCGACCTGGTGGTCTGGATCAATGGATTTTTTGGATACGGTAGCATTATCTTGCGTCATGGTTGCCTTTGCTATGGCAGGAGACCAGGCGAAAAGCTTCTTAAAGAACAAGGCAACGAAGACCGAAGCTAGTGGCCCTGGTTTTATTCCAGCGATCGTTCTTCTCATCCGCTTCATTAGCTGGGCGGCCCTCTGCTTCCTCGATCTTCCGCAGGGCCTGGTCCCGCTGGGCTCGCTGGGGCGCCCCATGGGCTTCCCGGTGCTCCGCGAGAAATTCCTGGAGCCGGCCACCGTTTGCTGGGAGGCCTTGGCCTGTTTCACGTCCCGGTTCTGGATATTCGTCGAACCGGAGGCCAATGCGACCTCTACGTCTTGGACCGAAGAGGTGGGGTTTGGCGACTGCACCTGGCCGACAACCGGCGAGCTGAGCAGTGCATCCACCATCTTCAACACCTGCTTGTTGTTGTTCGCCGTGGTTCTGGTTCCTCTGCACATGTGCATTGTGGTGGGAATGTTGCTTTTCAATCCAATCTACGCCTGTGGAGCCGACAACCTCAACCTCAAGGAGGAGGTCGAAGCGAAGCAGCGCGAAATCGATGCCTTCGCCGCGCGCAACGAGCAAGCTGCAGGGCAGCCTGTGAAGCTGGGTTTTCTTGCAGACCAGGTAACGACCACTCCGTGTGACGTGTCGCCGCAGGGATGCAGGACTACTTAGAGCGACCCGGAGACGAAAAGACCAATGCTACGATAGGAGCCCAACAATAATTACCGTTACGATTTTCGAGTTCCTTATTATACTTGTAGTATAGCGGGCCCCAAAGCCCTAATTCTAATTATAGACTACGGCCCCTAGATTAAGCCTTTCACAACTCTTGTTGCCGACCTCGCATTAGAAGACCAATAGAAAGCTGCCGCGCCAGCGCACATGCTCTAGGTGCAATGCTTTGTCTGCCTCATCCACCCTAATTCCAACGCTTGACCGCGAACAATGACCCTTAGTAGTGAGGCCTTTGAAAATCTCGTGCAGAAGCCGAGAGCGCTCTCGGGGTTTCATAAGTCGGAGATGTATTGTCCGGTCTGCAGATCTTAGGCATTTTAAGTATTTTCTGGGATTTTCTGGAAACACGGATTTGCAGGTTCTCTGGGATTTCTTTGAGGGTCCACCTCGACATCATGTCTCGCAGGCTCTATTCGAGTCGCGAGTAGCCGCTCCGCTGTGGATCTCATGATGTTGACATGTGGGGTGTGGCCCAGCCCGAAGCAAGCTGTCCTAGGCAGAATATGGGAAATTCCGGAGACGAACACTACATAGTGAAGACTTCTAGCGCTTTTATTCCTTTCTAAAAAGCGCTGAAGAAGGACACGCGCTCGAAAACACTCCCAAACGAAACCTGTCAGTTCAAACAGTTTACTTGCCACGATTTTGGAGTCTCTGGCAACCCGACAGCACTGCACCTACTGCACCCCTGGCGAATCTTGGGTTTCGGGGAGTAAGGCGCCCCGCGACCAGAGGGTTCCGGCCTCCATTTATTGGAAGACCCGAGGGGTGGACAGGTTCGCTTCTCTTTGGTCTGGGGTAATTTGATGGGATTGCTTTTATAAGGATTCAACCTTCAAGCTCCTGAGCCCTCAACCCCCTCTGGGGCAACACTGAACCGTGAGCCCCAAACCGCAAACTCCAAACCCGTATCGAGCCCTTGAACCCCAAATGCCAAACCAAAAGCCCTAAACCCCAACCTACGACCCTGAAGCTCCAAATCCTGTAGCCCTCATCAGCACGCCAGCCCTCCAAAGACTGCACCTGAGAAGGGCTCCAGACAGGGCGCCGTGCGCGCCGCAGCCGTGAAAGGTTTTGGGTCTCGAGCCGACCGCGCACGAACCCTGAGCTTTCATTTGTGACAGCCAGTTGCTGCTCCCTGCAATGGATATCCCCAAAGGCTATGTGCCAGTCGTCGCGTTTGGCTTCTGTCCACCTTCAGGGATCTTCTTCCAGCTTGCCATGTATCTCCTCGAGCCTCGGCCATACTGTCAGGGTTTTCCCTTTCATAGGGGGTCTTGCTGTTCACAAGGGGTCTCGGGGTCGGCTGCCCAGGATATCGTGAACGACATGGCTCAAGTCAGCACTTTTCTACTGCACAGAGACTGGTGGTTTGCAGTGTTTATGAGCTTCTTCATCCTCCTAAGCTTGGCGCTGGCCGTCCCGGAGATGTCGGAGCAGAGCAAGCTGAAGCGCTTCGACCCGCTGGGCGAAGCCCGGCTCTCCTTGGCTCGGGGGGTGCCGACCGTGGCTTGGGAGGTGATGCTCGCTTGTGAGTGGAGCATCGAGGCGCCTGCCACCGGGCTCATCGGGCCCTATGGCGCAACGTTGCTCCAGCTGACGCCGCTGCAGGCGGCCAGCTGCCTCTATGGGTTGGTGAGCTCAGCAAAGGGCATGGCCGAGGGCAGATTGGGTGCGGAGGCTGCCGAAAAGTTAACAAGGACAATCTTGCATGAAGGTCTCGCAAACCTGTGTAGGCACAGACCTGCTCATACTACAGAGCATACCTGGGAAGCTTCTAGACGCATGCAGGTGGTGTGTTTCATGCATAGCAGCCTATGCCGAGACAAGTTTCAAGACTCTTGGCAGGTGTCGACCGGCACCGACGGCGCAGAGGCATATGCGTTGAAAGCTGTTCGCCCGGCAAAGGCGGCGGCCTTCTTTGCCTGGTACTTGGGCGCATTTGTGGCGGAGCTGGCGGCCTTCGCCGTGGCGAGTGCCACCTTGCATCCCATCATCATTTTGCCGGCGTACCTCCTAGGTGCTGTGGCGAACGGCGCAGCGGCCACGTGCGGTGGATCGCAGGACTTCTCAGGTGCCACGCGAAATTCTTGCTTCTTGGTTGGTATTGCG